AGGAGGGGAAGACCCTCTATGAGATGGATTGATTCAGTGACTGGGGTAATCGGGATGGGTGTGTCAGAGGCGGTGTGGTTGGCGCAGGATAGAGCAGGGATTAGGGCCGTTGTGCATAGGGTCGCTATGGGTCGGAAACGACTCGACGGCACATAACAACAACAACATATGCTTTTGCGAATTGGACAATGAATAAGGATGATAAAGGAATAATTGGATACCTTTGGACTCTGGTGTTGGGAGAAGTGCAGCTAGAATTAGAATACTCCTTAGAAACAATGCTAGCCTGACTTCATGTCATATAAGTTAGGTTTGTTATCAAGAGGGTCCAGTTCCTGGAGAAAGGCCTCAAGCATGATAAAAAAGCTCAAGTTGGAAAGACAAAGACCTTCAGTGAGACAGATTGCCATAGTGGCTACAGCAGTGCACTTGAGAAGATGGTAGAGGCCTGGGCAGTGTTTTGAAGCTTTTTATTGCTGTACTGAGGCCTTTATGAGTTGGAGCCAACTCAAGGATGCCTAAGAACATAAATAAGACCTTACTCCAACTTATCTCCATTTTTTTTCTGACCATTAAACTTCCCTTGTGGATTATATCTGTTATTCTCTTCTATACACTTTAGGTAGTATAGGGCTTATCATTTTGTTGCTGTTATAATTGGTGTAATTTTGTTGTTGTTGTTGTTGTTATAATAGGAATAAGGATGCAAACAATTTAGCCATTAAGATGGTAATAATATCAAAGTTTGAATCTGAATAAACTTTTAACACTAGATTATTAAACTTTCAAAAAATAAGAGAGATTGGAGTCAGCAATGTTTGTAAACTTTTTTAGACATCATGATCTCTCAATTAGGTAATTTTTTGGTAGTAAACTAGAATAAGTGATGTTTTAATAAGATCTAAAATGTATGCTTAACGGGTATTTGTTTCATTTCAGAGGTTTTTTGAAAATCTTAACCCTATGGGAAATGAATCTGAAAAAGAGTTTACAGATTATTTGTTCAACAAGTCATTAGAAATTGAGCCCCGAAACTGCAAACAGCCACCTCGATTTGTAAGTCCATTACATAACATTATGTTCTACAGCTCATAATAAAAAGACTTAAGTCATAAGATACATTTGAAGCAAATTTTAGGAAAATTGTTTTGTTTTTGAAAATATACCTTCTGTGCTTAAAAATGTATTGAATTTAGTTGTTTTGCTGCACTGCTCATCGCTGGTAGAATTCTTGCCTTCCATGCAAGAAATTCAGCCTCAGTTCCCAGTGTATGTCAGGCACAGCTACCACCAGTCTGTCAGTGGAGATTCTCATGTTGCTGTGGTACTGAACAGATTTCACTGGAGCTTCTAAAATAAGATGAACTTGCATGAAAGATCTGGCAGTCTACTTTTAAATATGAGATACGGACAACCCTGTGGATGACCACAGTTTGATCAGCAGCCCATCATGGAAATAGTATAGGACCAGGCAGAGTTTAATTTCATTATACATAGGAATTGGTGGCCTATGGTGGCAGCTAGTAACAATAATCTTCTCTTTTATTTCTACTTATTAATCTACATTTTTTTATTCCATCCTAGTTAGAATAAACAGATATGTGTTGAGAAAAGAGCAGCCAGAGTGCTCCTTGGAAGCAAAGATGGTGAAGCTTCTTTCATACTCTGGATATGTAGGTAGGCAGGTCTATTCCTTGATGAGGGACATCATTCTTGGAAAGATAGAGAGGGTTAGCAAAGGACAGGAAGATCTCCAATGAGATGGATTGACACGGTGACTTCAATAATGGATTCTAGTGTGTCAGAGATGAGGATGGCACAGGTTAGAGCCGGGTTCAGGTTGGCAGTTCATAGGATTGCTTGAGTCGTACTTGATGGCACCTAACAACAACAATAGCTAAAACAGAAACAACTGTGATAGAGATGGATAGATGATGACCACTAACATGCCAGGTGATAGCTGAATGGAGCAGAGGAAATGGGGAAACCGGAAAGGAGCAAGCAGATTTCTACCACAATTCTAACTTGAAAAGGATTCTGATCATGAGGGCACCATAATTCCTCGTTGCCACTAGAGCTCACCTTTCCTGCTAGAATTTGCTGTTTTCGTTCCTAGTTATTATTGGTGTTCACAGTACAAGAGAAATATCAGAAGACCAACTATAAGAAGTTGAAAGAAGATGTAAAAGGAAATACATTTATAAAATACCAGCTTTGGTACAAGCAGTGAAAACTAGTTTTTATAAGCTTAAAAAGATCTGGGACTCAGAGGGCTTAGAGTAACATTTTCATGACTTTATAACTAGATATTGACACACAATAGAGATTGAAAAAAAATTATTTTTTAAATTTTATTCTTTTTTATGTGTGTACTGTCAAATCGGATCTGACTAGTACAGGAGGAGATTGCCCCTCCTCCAGCAGAGCATCTGGATTAGAACTGTGTGCCTCTGCGTTTGCAGTGCAGCTTCTTGCCACTAGGCCACCAGAGCTCCCTTACAATACAGATTTTTAATTCAAATTTCTGAATCTGATTTTCATATCCTTGTTTAGGGTTTTTTTTCATTTGATTATTGCTGGTAGAGTTTTCAAGGAAAAAGGTGCAGGTGGGGTGATCATTTTCCCCAAAGACTTTAAAGCACTGTTAGTAAGGTTGACTGTTTAGTAGAGGAAGGGGAAAGAGATACTTAAAAAATTCTGTGCTTTCATAATATGTTGTCTATAGCAAGAGTGGCATCCACTCCCCAAACAACATGCCTCTGGAAATGCTTTGAACGTTGATAAATGACGATAGTTATAGAAAGGCTACAGGCATTTTTTTCACAGGATCACTGAGTCGTGCTCGATTCAATGGCAATCAACAGCAATAGTAAATATTTGTAAAATTTATACTGACAACTTGAAGAAGTTTAATTTCTAGTGTTTTAGGAACATCTTAGAGTTATTTTCACAGAGATTTTCTAGAATTTAATTTTTGCACTGAGAAAATAGGTTTCATTATATTCAAATTTAAATCTGTTAAGCATAATCCAATTAAATTCAGAAGTATTCTGCGTAGAATATTAGAGACTTTAGTGTAGATTAGCATTTTATTCTACCTCTTTTAACTGTGTGGTTAAAATGGCTCAAAGTCATAAAATCAAAGGCAAAATAGGTGTAAATATTAATAATGTTCATTGTGTTTGCTATTCCTAGCCTAGGAAATCAACTTTCTCCTTAAAATCTCCTGGAATAAGGCCAAATGCAGGCCGCCATGGCTCTACCTCAGGTACTTTACGAGGCCATCCAACGCCATTAGAAAGAGAACCATGTAAAATAAGCTTTAGTCGCATTGCTGAAACTGAGATTGAATCGACAATGTCAGCACCAACCTCTCCAAACACACCATCTACTCCACCAGTGTCTGCTTCCTCAGACCTCAGTGTGTTTTTAGATGTGGATCTCAACAGTTCCTATGGTAAGTACTTAATAGAAATGATTTAAGAAAGGGAGTCTTATGTTTTGGAAAAGTCTTCTCATCTGTTTAATTAAATGATAGAGTTGTTTGCAAACTCAAGAAATAAAGCGGCATCTCACATCATTTTTAAAATTTATTCATCCAACAAATATTTTGTTTTATAAAAAATGACATTTAAATGTTAAAATAGTGATTAACTCAAGAGTAAAGCATCATTTGACTACTGTTTTTGTATATGTTGAAATTTATTCATCCAACAAATTGGGGTCACATCAAGGTAAGTCTGTGCAAAAGAAGAAGACTCAAGGAGATAGATGTTCTGACACTGCTGTGACGACAAACTCGAACACAGGAAGTGAGGAGGATTTGTGTTATGCGTGGGGTTGTCGGAACACTGGATGGCACCTAACAACAGTAACCCATGTTAAAGGGAGCGATAGACAGTGAACAGATACATGTCATCAGGGGAAATGGGAAAGTGACTATGATAAAGAGGAAACCAGTTATGCTAAGAAGGAAAAACCATTTCAGGAAAAAAGAACAATCTCATATTTAAAAAAATTAGCCTGACAAAATATGATAAAATTCTATGCCCAGTGTGTCTTATTGTGTATTACTTTATAGAGACATATTTTAAAAATACCATCATAGATGTTACTTTTTTTTTCATACTATTTTTTTCTGATTCCAGTAGGCGGCCATAGTATCTTTGCTCCAGTCCTTTTGCCACATTCAAGTAAGTAAGAATTCTGAATTGCCTCCAGTGAAATAATTATAATGATAATCTAGTTGATTAAATTTCTATTTTAGTAATCGTGCTTGATATTTAAATAATACAAAAAGGAAAGAAATTCTTATAAATTGAGGTATTTTCTCCTAACTATGTGTTGTTTGTTTTGTTATAGTTTCTTTTCATCACCTTAGAACTTGTTTGTATTGTTGGAGCTTTGAGATGTTGAACAAATTGCTTGGTGTCTCCAAACATGTTTGCGTCTAATGAGATCCCTAGCATAGTATTTGGCTAAGAGTAAGCAGTACCATTATGGTGTTCACGTCTCCTTTATCCCAGCCTTTCCAGTTCATTTTCCCATAGGAATAGAATGCCAAAAGTCTTACCACTTTCTGAGCTAGCCCTGGATCACTTACTCCATTGTATCATTTTGTTAATGAAGGCAGATTTAAGTAAAGCACTAGTCTAGAATTTTTCAGTTAATCATAATTTATCTCATAAAGATAGTTAATTTTCTCTCTGAGGTCATTTGTTTAAAACAAAATAAGAATAATAAAAACAACAGTCTCAGTAGTAATATTTAGAGGACTTCTGCATCTAGCAAAGTAAAATGTTATAATTTAGATACTAACAAGCAAATTCTTACATTTTAAGAAAAGTAAATTTAGTCTTTCAAATGCTTAATTCTAGATTTCATTTTAATTATTTTTTAGCATTTTTATAGAAGCAATATATACCTAGACCTTAAAAGGCAAATAGTGCTAAAAAGCTTAAAATGAAGCCAACAGCAATTCCCAGTCCTATCTTCTCTTCTCTTCCAATTATAGACTTCCATGTCTGTAAATGAAATGTTTATATTGTTCTTTTGATTCATCAATTTTAGAGTATGTTTGTTGTTGGTATTAGTTAGCTTTGTGTGATTCCAACATCATACATCCAGAGTGGTGGGGGAACCCTAAAACCCACTAAAATTTAAAATCATTGCCATGGAATCAGAACTGATTCATAGCTGACCCTCTAGTTGGGTTTTCTGAGGCTGATATACTTGAACTGGCAGAGAGGTGCCAGCTCTGGGTTGCAGCCTAACTCCCTAAGGACTACTGCACCAGAACTTCCTGTCACACCTACTGGCAGATTTTCAAGGTTGAGACTGTTGGAGGCATATCACAGGCCTGTTTCCTGAGCAGCCTCAGAGTAGCTTTATCCAGACTGCCCGTACTTTTGCTAGTAGTCAAATATTTAATCATTTGCACCACCCAGTGATTATACATGTTCATATTGGGAAAAATATTATTCACTGCTAAACCAACTAGTATGTACTAGATTATGCTTCCTTTCTTACAAGATTCTGCTTCCTGGGGTTTGTAATTGCCTCATTATTGCTTAGGGAATTTGTTAGTTAGTTTCTGTTGACATGTGTTGCTCAGTCTTTCCCAATCTTCACAGCAGTTTTCCATGAAGTCAAACCAATGGGGAAACCTGTTAGAGTTTATTCAGTTTTCGTTTTGCTTTTAAACCTAGAAACCACTTTCCTTATGCCCTTTTTTCCCCCATCTAATTTTAACTGTTCTCTTTTGTGGCTTCTACCTTTCTTGTTGTTTCATTGGCATTCTAGGAATTCTCTTTACTTATCTCCTGGGTTTTTTAGAATATCTTCTTTTTTCTTGAATTGCTTCCTTCTTTTGTTAGGGATATATCCTTTAGCAGCTACCTGAGAAAGGGTACATAGACTATAAACTTTTTGCATTTCTAAAAAATATTTATTTATACATTTACTTATTTGACTGGATATAGAATTTGAAATCATTTTTTCTTAGAATAATGACTGTCTTCTAGCTTTCATAGTTGCTTTTGAGAAATCCAATACCATTCGTTCATTTAATGCATAATTTTTGAATGCCTAATATGTGTGAGTGATAAACAAAAATCTTTTCCTTGATCATCTAATATATTTTAAAAAATATTTAATTGGTTTTCATATAATAGTTCCTTTATTGATGATGTTCTGTTTTTATGACTAGGATGTACTTGAGGTAACAGAGTAACCTTTTCCCTCCCCCAAAACCAACCAAGAAAATCAGTGACTGAACTTGTTAAGGTAGTGGGTTTCACTATGAGGGGATGGAGTGGTGATGCTTTTCAGTGAAGGTATCCTCGGTTGTCATTCTCCACGGCTTGTTCTCTAGGATTTTTTTGGTTTTCCAAAATCTTCTCTTTGAGTTGCCTGTTTAGGGATCTTAATATTTACTAAGAATCCTTCTGTTTCCAGCACAGCATCTTAGTAGTGTCCCCAAGCCTTGGGTTTAGATTCTCCACAGAATTAAACCTCTGATCACTGTCTGGAATATCAGTGAAGTTCTTGCCTGGCTATTGTCTGACCTCACTAATTAGAGGATAGAGGCTTGAGGTTCTGATTGCTTCTTTATAGACTTACCCAGTTCCCCTGATTGATGTTCATACTTTCTATTTTACTGAGTCCCTTTAACTCTTGACCCTTCATTTGATTCAGAGGGACAATTTTGTTTTCAACTGTCACTATATCCATCTGTAGGAATTTAAATTTTATCTTCCTCCATTTATCCCTTTCATATATGTTGTGTTTCAGGATTTAGATGTTTCTAGTTGTATTGAAGGGAGGTCCAAAGGAACACAGTTCCAATCTAGCTTTTCCACTGGAGAAAGGTGGGCACTCTCCACCTATGTGATTTACTGCCTCTGAAAACACTACGTCAGCCATGAGTCACTTTAAACTCTATAATATATAACATCAGCAGCAAAATATAATTTTCTAAATGTCATAAAGATGATGAGGCTTTATTTCCTATACTTTGGACATGTAGTTAGGAGAGGCTATTCCTTGGAGAGGAACATCACACTTGGAAAGGTGGAAAGATGGTAAAAGAGAGGAAGACCCTCGACTAGGTGCATTGACACAGTGACGGCATCAGTGGCCTCAAGAGGGTCAGAGATTTTGATGATGGCGCAAGATAGATCAGGGTTCAGATTTTTTGTTCATAGTGTCATTATGAATCTTTCTCAACTCAGTGACATCTAACAAGAAGAAAAAGTCTACCAGAGAACTCTCTCACTTATTGTCAACAAATTGTTTATCAGTTTGCCCCTTGTGAAAAGCAGTCTGAAAATACAGTACCAGGAACTGTGGGAGGTGGTAGGGTTACAAAACCTAACCACACACATTCTTTTAAAGAGCTTAGCTTAGTGCAGAGGATAGAGGAACCACAGTTATATTTTTTGATAAAAAATTTGGTCATATTTTTGTACAAATGACTTGTGACTAATCCTTTTCCCTCCAGAATCTTTCTTCAGTTCATGTGGTAGTTTACATAAACTAAGCGAAGAGCCACTGATTCCGCCGCCTTTGCCTCCTCGAAAAAAGTTTGACCATGATGCTTCAAATCTCAAGGTATTCTCTAGGATTTAGGTTTGCCTCAGCTTATTCAAAGTTGTGAGTCTTTAAAATAGTGCTTTTTCTTATAAAGACTCTGTCAACTGTAATTTGTCTACCCTTTATGTTTTTCAGACATTTGTGGTATTATATTTGAAAAATACTTTGAATTATTGTTTAACTCCCCTAAAATCTTTTCTAAGAATGATAGTAGGTGGATTACACTGATAACTTAGAAGCACTCCAAAAATGTTAGCATTCAAAATTTTATTCAAACTTTCAAACAGTGCTTCTCAAACTGTGGGTGCATCAGAATCATCTGGAAGGCTTAGGACCCCATCCCTAAATTTTCCCATTCAGTAAGTAAAGGATGGAACCTAAGAATTTGAATTTCTAATCTGAACTTCCTCTAGTGGTCCTTGTCCTTGGGTCACATTTTGAGAACCACTACCCTTAAGCTTCACTGGGAAAAGTAGAAGTAGATACCTGCTCCATAAGCCAGAGTTGGACAATAAACTTTCTTAGCATCTTCTTGTTATGTGTTTGGAAAGCTTTGTATTGTTTTTACTCACTTGCCCATTATTATAAACTTAATAGTTCATATATTCACAGATCTATTGAATGTGTACACAAAGCCCCAAGCCCAAGATTGACCATTTCATATATAAAAATAATAAATGGCTTTCGGAGTTTACCTGACAGGAATATACTCATAAAATTGATAATGAAACTAGGTTAGCTTGATACATAGTTACTTTTTTATCCTTTTGAAGATTTATTCTTACAAATTTCTCCAGAGAATAGAGCTATTTGCATTTTATATTTTATTTATTTATTTATTTTATTATATTTATTTTACATTTATAATTACATTTTATTTTTCTTTTTGAGGGAAATGCGAAATCTGATGACGATCCCCCTGCTATTCCACCAAGACAACCTCCAAAGGTGAAACCCAGAGTTCCCGCTCCTTTTGGTGCATTTAACGGGCCTTTGAATAGTCCACCTCCACCGCCGCCAAGAGACCCTCTTCCCGAGACCCCTCCACCCGTTCCTCTCCGGCCCCCGGAACACTTCATAAACTGCCCGTTTAATCTTCAGCCGCCTCCAACAGGACATCTCCATAGAGATCCAGACTGGTTCAGAGACGTTAGGACATGTCCAAATTCGCCAAACACTCCTCCTAGTACCCCCTCTCCACGGGTGCCACGGCGATGCTACGTGCTCAGCTCTAGTCACAACAGTCTCGTTCATCCTCTGGCTCCCCCTGTTCCACCCAGGCAGAATTCAAGCCATCACCTGCCAAAACTGCCACCAAAGACTTACAAACGGGAACTTTCGCACCCCCCATCGTACAGACTGCCTTTGCTCAAAAATGCAGAGACTCCTCAATGACCTTAGCCATTTGTAGTCATTGACACTGGAATAGTATTTGTAAAGTTCTCTTTTTTATTTATTCAAAAAAAGGCATAATATTTTAGTACTTTTTACAAATAATGCTCTTTAAAAAACCTGCTACTGATCAAATAAGCTTTTGAAAATTGGAAAACTTAAAAATCCAAAAGTTCTTCATCATTATCCTCAGGTGATCAGTATCATTGCCTTGTCTTAGATCTCAGTGCTGCCAAAAGGCCAGTATAAAGAATTTATATTTGCACTGTAGACTCTGTTAAACTACAGTTTAACGTGGCATTGATTGCACTGAAACGGACTAGTGCATTTGTGGATTTTTCAAATTTAGAGACCTTTTTAAGGCAATGAATTTACACAGATAAAGGGGGTGTGTCGTTTTCCGACTTTTTAAACCTCTTTGACCATCTTCTAGTTTTTCAAATGTCTCGGAGAATTGTGAATAACACCCACTGTTCTTAAACTCTTCAATGCCATGTCTTAAATGCCAGTATTTGCTGCTGAAGACAAAGATGGAAAATAGAATGAAAACAGTAGAGTGCACTGTGTTTCGTATTTTGTCAAAATGTAAACAAAGACTACCTAACTCAATTATTGAATGGAAAAAAGGGCCCATTATTTAGCATGTATCTCATTCAGATGTGCCTTTTGTTTTTGCAGACTTAGGTGTCTTTAGCTAATGAGTTGCCTATTGTTTTGGAAAAACAAAATCAAAATACCATGTATGTACAGTTTTGTTTATATTGTATATTTAAAGATAATGCTAATAACCTATATAAATTTAAGTGACTTGAGGCTTATAATACAATCTGCTACTATATTCATAAATTCAGAGGGAACGTTTCTTATGGCAGAGGAACAAACTCTGCCTTGCCTTTAAAAACCTAGTTCAACTTTCTTTATAAATCTTGTGTTAAATGAAATTTTAAAAATCTATTTTTTCTAGACTGGCAATATTTCAACCAGCGAATACCCAAAACTTTGTTAAACTTTTTAAATCTGAGAAGTGAGTGTAACTTTTATTTGCCATTGGACATCTGCCTTCAAAGCAAGGAAAGCATGTTTTGATAAAAGTGCCGTAGCAGCTGTTGTAAAGTAGCCAAAAGCCACGTTGTTTTATTTACTGGTCTGTGGCCTTTTACTGTGCTTTGTATCAGAGTTCTTAACAAGATTAATAAATCACTCCAGTCTTAATTTTTAAAAGATTTTAAAGAGTCTTTGTCTTTTTTTAATATATATAAAAGGGGGAGATTGGCAAGTTTCATAGTCAATTTACACACAATTTTGACTGTTTTGTGCAATTTTGAGATCACATAATCCTTGTGAATTCAAGATATGTCGATTTCAAGGATTGACTTTATCTTTGTGTTAAACCAAAACAAGGCAAAGTTCCAGCAAACCTTGTTAAGTATTTTTGCTATTGTTGTTTTTGTGTACCATTGAGTCAGAACTGACCCATAGCTGACCCTCTCGTGAGTTTTCAGAGGCAGTTAATCACAAGGGAGGAGGTCTCCCATCAGTCTCCTGTGGAGTAACTGGTAGATTCAAACCACTTGCCTTTGGGATTGCAGTGCAGCTTCTTAACAGTAGGCCACCAGAGCACCCTTTGCCTTGTTAGGAGTTAAGTGCTGCCAAGTTGAGTATGCATCACAGTCACCCTGTCCTATTCTGTCATTCTCATAATTTCTGGCATACTCAAGCCCATTGCTTCAGTCATTGAGTCAGTCCATCTGGTTGAGAGCCAATCTTCCAGCTTTCCCAGAATGATGTCCCTTTCCAAGGAATAGCTTCTACTAACAACATGCCCCTTTGCCTCCAAAGACCATTCTGGCTGCAGTTTTTCCAAGACATATCTGTTCTTTAGGCAGTCCATGGGATATTCAGTATTTTTCAATACCAAGTATCAAAAACATCAATTCTTCTACTGTCTTATTCATTCTCCAGCTCTCAGATGCACAGTATGGGACTGAGAAAACATGACCTGAACCAGACAGACTTTAGTCTTCAAACTGACATCATCATTCCTCAGTAATCTGGAGAGGTCCCTGACTGCAGACTTTCCCAGTGTGGTTTTCTGATCTTCTGACTGCTGGTACCAGCGATGTTGATTGTGGGTCCAACTAAGATGAAATTGTTCACAGTTTCAATTGTTTCTCCTCCAATCATGATGTTGCCTATTGGACCAGTGGTGAGAATTTTTCTTTTCTTGATGTTGAGATATAATCCATACTGAAGGCTATAATCTTTGATTTTCTGCAGCAACTGCTTGAACTCTTCCTCACCTGAAGTTTTGTCATCTGCATAATAGAGGTTCTTAATAAGTCATCCTCCAACCTTGATGTCACATTCTTCTTACAGTCTAGCTTCTCAAATGATTTGCTCAGCATACAGATTGGATAGGTAGAGAAAGGATGTAACCCTGATGTACACTTTTCTTAAAATCATGCAGTATCCCCTTGATCTGTTCAGACAACAGCTTCTTGGTCTAGGTATAGGTTTTGCATGGACATAATTAAGTGTTCTGAGATTTCCATTCTCAATGTTAGCCATAATTTATTATGATCCACACAATCAAATGCCTTTGCATAGTCAATGAAGCCCAAATTGATATTCTTCTGGTATTCTCTGCTCTCAGCCCTGGATCCATCTGACATCAGCAATGATACACCTGGAGCCACAGCCCCTTTAAACCCAGCTTGAACATCTGGAAGTTCTCTGTCAATCCATTGTTTCAGCTTTTTTTGCTGATCTTCAGCAATATTTTGTTTGTGATATTCTACTGTTAAATAAGTTCAGCATTCTGTTGCATTACTTTACTTAAGAATAGGGAACAATTATTGAACTCTTCTAGTCAGATGGCCAGGCAACTGTCCTTCAGATTTTCTGGCTTAGGCTGATAAACACATTCAGAGCTGCATTTGTTTGCTGAAACACGTTGGTTGGTATATCTTTGATTTCTGGGGCCTTATTTTTTTGCCAGTGCATTCAGTGCACCTTGACATTCTGCCTTCATTGCAATTGGCTCTTGATCATATGGTATTTCTGGAAATATTTCAATGTCAATCAAGTCTTTTTGGTACATTGACTATGTATTCACTCCATCTTCTTTTCATGCTTTCTGGATCTTTCAAGATTTTGCCCCTATCGTCATTCAGAGTTGCAACTCAAGGCTTGAATTTGTTTGTCAGTTCTTTAAGGTTGAGAAATGCTGAGACAGTCCTTCCCTTTTTATTCTCTTGATTGCAGCTTTCTACAATTTCTTTATATTACTTTGGTTTGTCTTCTTGAGCTGCCCTTTGAAATTGTCTTATATTCTCAGGGTATATTCCAAGTAGTGGAATAGCTGGGTCATATGGAATATCTATGTTCAGCTTTTTGAGGAAGCGCCAAACTGCCTTCCCGAATGGTTGTACCATTTTACAATCCTACCAACAATGTATAAGAAGAGTTCCTTTCTCGCCACATCCTCTGCAACATTTATTACTTGCTGCCCTGTTAAACTTTACCACTGTTACTGGAATAACATAGTATCTCAATGAGGTTTTGATTTGCATCTCTCTAATTGCCAGTGATTTGGAACATTTCTGTTTGCCCTTCTAATATCTTACTCTGTGAAAATTCTTTCCATGTCTTTTGCCTATACCCTGAGAATATGAGAACTGAGGCACAAACTGAGATTTGTACACTAATGTTCATAGCAGCATTATTTACCATCACAAGAACATGGAAGCTGCCCACATGTCCAACCACAAATGAATATGTTGAGAAATGATGGTACATTCACACAATGGAACACTATGCAGCACGCAGGAGCAATGATTTTGTAAATTACCTAACTTTGAGGGACTGAAGAGCATCATGCTGAGTGAACTAACTCAGTCCCACAAGGATAAATATTGTATAAAACCATTATTGTAGAATGAGTATAAAGATCCAAGAGGTGTGGGAGAGGCTGGAAGCAGAGGGATGTAGATGTGTAGGAGGATGGGGGGATTAATCATCAGATTGAAAGTTGAGGGTTGAAGGAAATGGAAAGAATTTGTTCAAATTTGTATTCAAATTTTGTAAATAAACTAATTGTTGTTATATGCCGTCAAGTTGCCCGTGACTCATAGTGACCCTATGTACAACATCCCTAAACCTTGCTCTATCCTGTGCCAATCTCACTGTCTCCGACACACCTGCCCCCACTACCCCAGTCACTGAATCAAACCAACTCATGGAGGGTCTTCCTCTCCTGCACTGTCCCTCCAAACTCCCAAGCATGATGTCCTTCCCCAAGGACTGGTCCCTTCTTGCAGCATGTCTGAACTTCAGACTGCCTGGTTTAACTCTCTGTAGGATGGACCTGTTAGTTTTCTTAGCAGTCTGTGGTATAGTCAATACTCTTCTCCAACACCACAGCTCAAAGGCATCAATTCTTCTGTCCTCCCTAGTCATTGTCCAACTCCCTGATGCATTGTAAGTGATTGCAAAGACATGGCCTGTAACGGGCACACCTTAGTCTCCAAAGTGGCACCATTGCTCTTCAGTACTTTGGAGAGGTCCCTAGCAACATACTTTCCCATCACAATACGTCTTTTAATTTCCTGGCTGCTGGTGCCGAGAGTGTTGATTGTGAAGCCAAGCAAACTAAAGCTGTGAACAATCTCAATCTCTTCACCATCCATCCTGATGCTGCCAATTGGCCCAGGGGTGAGAATTCTTGTCCTCTTGATATTGAGCCTCAATCCCTATTGAAGGCTGCAGTTCTTGACCTTCTGCTTCAGGTCCTCCTCAGTTTCAGCAAGCAGGGTTGCGTCATATGCATAACGCAGACTGTTGATGAATCTTCCACCAATCCTGGAAATTTTTGTTTTCTTGGCGTTGAGATATAATTCATATTGAAGGCTGCAGTGTTTGAGCTTCTGCAGCGTTTCAATTACCCTTCACTTTCAGCAAACCAGGTTGTGTCATCTACATAAGGAAGGTTATTGATGAATCTTCGTCCAATCCCTACACTAGATTCTTCTTTATAGACAGGATTATGTTATTAAGTGTGGTGCAGTCGGAACCAACTCATAACTGATCCTACAGTGGATTTTCAGAGACAATTTAATAACAAGGGAGATTTACCTTCCTTCTCCCGATGAGGAGCGGAATTCAAACTGTATGGCTTTGGGTTTTTGCAGTAGCTGTCTTCCCATTAAATCACCAGACCTCACATTTTTAGGATTATAGTGTGGAATAAATCTCCAACTAAGTAACAACTTCCAATTTTACTTTGTTTTTTAGAAAAATTTATTATAACAGTAGCTTGGCTTGGAAAATTATTTAAAATTCGAGCTGGAGAAATTAAACTGTAAGAAGTGTTTATCAGAGGAGAAGCGAGTTCCTACGCGGGGCCGAGCTAGGGGCGGGGTCTCGGGCGAGGCCCAGCCCTTGCTCTGTGCCTTCGCGCGTGCGCAGTGGCTCCACCCGCCACTAGGTGGCGCGAGCTTATGCGTCGGTGTGACGTCCCGGCGCGCGCCGCGGTGCGTTGCCGGGCAGCCATGGCCGCTAGCGTTGAAACATCTGGGGATGAGGACCCGCTGTGGAACTTTGTTCGGGATTTGGAGAAGCGAGATGGCACGGTTTTGCGGCTGCAGCAGTACGGATCTGGCAGTGTGGGCTGCGTTGTTTGGGACGCTGCCATTGTCCTTTCTAAATACTTAGAAACGCCCGGGTTTTCGGGCGACGGGGCCCACGCGCTGAGCCACCGGTCGGTGCTGGAATTGGGTTCTGGCACCGGGGCCGTGGGGCTTATGGCCGCTACTCTCGGGTAAGTCTGGCGATAAGGGAGGCCTCTTTGGCCCAGGCATACCTAATTACTGACGTCCTACCTTTATACATCCATCAATCGACGTTATTTTATAGGGCAGATGTTGTAGTCACCGACCTTGAGGAATTGCAAGACTTACTCAAGATGAATATTAATATGAACAAGCACCTTGTCACTGGTTCTATTCAAGCCAAGGTACTGAAATGGTTTGTATGGCCTTTCAGCTTGTTTTAAGATAACGATTTACGTTTCACTGACAGCATAGTTAACACCAAGGGGACTTTCTGGTTCTTCGAATAGACACAGAGTATGTAAAAATTATTAAAGTAATCGCTAAATGTTTGTGTGACTTTTTTTAAGGGGAGAAGAAACAGAAGACTTTCCTTCTCCACCAGACTACATCCTGATGGCCGACTGCATATACTATGAGGAGGTAACTGGTCCCAGAGACGGCCTGTCTGTAACGAATTTTGTATGCGGAAGCACACACTTCTGTTAGTTACAGTGGGATATCGCCCATGACGTTTTTAGTGTGTATTGAACTTTTGTCTGGGTTATGTAGGTTTTATGGCAAAATCGAAGACAAAAGTCTTTGCTGTAAGTGCTAGTCATGAAGGCTGTGAGTAAAGGGGCTTGTGAGTTCAAGATCAGTAAAGAGAAGACATAGATCACCAGAAACCACATACATACACATAATCATTAATTTATAGATGTGTTGAGGAAAAGGTTTCTTGTGTTTTCCTTAAGGCTTCCGTAATGATTTTACCACTTGGAATTGTTAGGAAGCACAGAGTTTTTGTTTTAACCCTCACTGTCAAAGTAAATACATTAGCCATGACATGTTGGTGCTGTTGTGTGCCCTCGAGTTGGAACCAAACCTCGATTACTGCCCACTTTCTCCCATGAAGCAGCTGGCAGTTTTGAACCATGAGCCTTTGAAATTGCAATGCACCTTTCTTACCACCAGGCCATTAGCACTCCCCACATTGACATGGGAATTGTTCTATTACACTCATTGGATTATTTTTCTTTAAAAATTCAGTTCAGGGGAGCTCTGGTGGCCTAGTGGCAAGACGCTGCACTGCAATCCCAGAGGTACGTGGTTCAAATCCACCAGATGCTCTGCTGGAGAAGGAGGGGCAATCTCCTCCTGTACTAGTCAGATCTGATTTGACAGTACACGTAAAAAATAATATAATAAAAATTTTAAAAAAATTCAGTTCATATTCACATGTCAACATTTATTTTTTAAAAATAATGAACACTGAGTCAACCTGTATTAGACTTGGTTTGATGGGGTAAGTTGTTGGTCATTTGAATTTCAAGTTAAACTTTTAAGAGTGAGTGGATTCTGTTTTTTTCCCCTAGAGGTTATTCCAAAATACATAAATGTAAATCCTTTCATGGTAGTGGAAATCAATACAATTATTAATTAATTAAAAGGAGTTTACCGACCATTAGTTATATTTTACTTCTATAATTGAAATATGGCTGGATCCTAGAGGGGTTGCAATTATTCCTCCCCTCCCCCCTTTATTTTTTCGAGCAGAAATTTTTGAAGTTGTAATCAAACATGCTTCTCTTTTTTAAACAGTCTTTGGAGCCATTGCTGAAAACTCTGAAAGATCTCAGTGGATCCGAGACTTGTATTATATGTTGTTACGAACAGCGAACAATGGGCAAAAATCCAGAGATTGAGAAAAGATATTTTGAGGTAAGTACTAGCTCTATCCATGTAGTGATTATCCTTCAGGGAGGCAGTTGGTTAAGAACTCAAGGAGAGGATCTTTCACATTTCTTCTAGCTTGCTAATTGCCCCCTTTCCTACCAATTTTAGCGTTGGTTTTTTTCTCCTAATGTTTTCCCCTTTCTATCAGTTTGATGTGGTATGTTCAGAACAATGTAAAACTAGTGACATCGTTCGTTATTTTTTATCTCTGTATTTTTTTAGAACATTTTCAGTTTGTGCTTCTCTATTTTCCTCTCTATTTTTTTAAAATCACTGTTCTAGGTGTCCTGTCTTTTCAGATTTTTTATCCCTCCCCTACTTTTTCTTTTGAAATGATGATAGATTTGTGGAAAATTGTGAAAGCATTATATGCAGTGCTATGTGTCTTTTCCTCAATATTAATTCATTCTTTATAAAGACAAATATATATTACAACTGATGACTCCTTAGGGTGCATCTAAAACCTTAAGTCCATGTGTTTCAAAGTAGAGCTGTGTTCCAGAGTGTACTCAGTGATTCTAGTTTTCAGCAGGAGTTTGCCAAGCTTCTTCCAGAGACCTCTGGGTAGACTCTAACCTTCCAGTTAAGCACCTGAGTGTGATAACCATTTGTATTAACTGGAGTCTACCTGCTGGTTTTTTTTTATGCAGTGCAGGCTTTTGCAAACAGCAGTCACCTTCGTCTTAGCTGTCTGTGCTATATGCATTACATGCACATGTACATTATTCCTATAGGTGTGTTTTATTTAAAAATATGGTATATAATTGTTTGATAAACTAGAACTGTTGTAGTTTAATGAGAGAGGACATGTATGACTAATAGCATGTGTTAACTGTAAAACGAAACATACACTTAAAATAGATTTAAACATTTTATTGAGGTAAAATACCCACATTTCAAGAACTCCCCTTTTTCCTGTGGATTAACACAAGTGACACCCAACATTAAGATACAGAAAATAGGATTATGACCCTTTTATGCTCCTTTTCCATCAGTGCTCCTTTAAAAATCACCACCATTCTGACTTTTGTCAAGTTAGATCGGTTTTATTAATGAGATTTTTAATATTCTCTCTCAAATTTATAGCTCCTTCAGCTGGACTTTGACTTTGAAAAAATTCCTTTGGAAAAACATGATGAAGAATATCGAAGTGAAGATATTCATATATTATACATCAGGAAAAAAAAATCAGTAAGTAAATTCCTGACTCATTCTCTGAGGAGATTTCATTAGTTTGGCACCCTCTCTGGGCTTAAACGTGATACACATGCATTGGTTAGAATGTGGATAAAGAGCTATTGTTTGCTGGACTCAGGCACCAACTCTCAGCAATTGGGTCACTCAACCTACCTAAATGCTCTTTGCAAAGGTTCTTATCAAGTCTAAATTTTTCAAAAATAATTATCACCTGTAAAAAATTACATAACTCTTTAAAAGCTACTATTATTTCTGAGAGATCTAAAAATACCAAGTCTTTTAAAATTTTTTCTGGTCTTTTAAAATAGCTTTAACAAAGTAAAATGAAAGAGCCCTTTTTAATTAGAATTTCTGTGTATGCCCTCTTTTTAGTGCTACTTTTACCTGTTGTTATAGCTATACAATATATAAATTGTGTGACCACGTAGAATTGAGTCTATAGAAAGGATGAATTGCATCTCTATTTTTTAAACCCTAAGCCTTTTGTATATATGACTAAAATATGGCAGCACTGTGACAAACAGTATGGATTATGGATGCTAAATGTAATTAGCCTTACCTTTTACTTGTGCTTTGGTGGAATTTATGATATTGTTAGCTGGCTGAATTTTAGCTGAAAGCAAATATAAAACTGATTGTAAGGAAGGATAAGGGGAAGAGCACAGTAGAATTAGTAATTTGTATCAACTAACATCTGTATGCTGTGTTAGAGACAAAAAAAACTAAAATTGTTTTATACTGTAAGTAACCCAGTTTTCCTTGAAGTTGTTTTATAATTAGAATCACCTAGGGCATAAAGATACTTAGTTTTATATTTTATATACTATAAAATTGGCAACACATAAAATTCAATGGTTCACAGAGTGGCACAACCTCTCTCTTTTAGAACATTTTTTATCACCCTAAAAAAATCCCATTGTGCAGTTCCTACCCTTTTCCACCTGGCATAAACAATCATCAACAGGTTTCTTTCTCTAGTTTTGCCTGTTCTCAGCATTTTGTATAAATGGTGTCACGCAACATATAGCCTCCTGTGTCCAGCTTCTTTGACACAGCACTATTTTCAAGGTTCATCCATGTTGTATCCTGGGTTAGCACTTCACTCATTTTAATTGCTCAATAATGTTCTTTTGTATGGATATTTTATACTAGCCATCTATTCCTCAATTGATGGACATTTGGGTTGTCTCTGCTTTTAGGATATTATGAATGCTACTGTGTACATTGATGTAAAAGTCTTTGTGTACACCTATATTTTCAGCTCTTTTGAGTATATGTCTTGGATTAGAATTTATAGTAACTCTTTTTTTAACAGTTTGGAAAACTGCCAATCTGTTTTAAACCAGAGACACCAATTTACAACTCCACCATTGTGGGTTCAAGTTTCTCTACATCCTCACCAACACTTTTCATTTTCTATTATTATAGCTGTTTCAGTGGGTATGAAAGGAGCCCTGGTAGAACAGTTATTTAAGTGCCCCAGTCGGTAACTTGAGAGGTCCGAAGTTCATATGCCACAGGAGAAAGACGTGGTGGCATCCTGCTCCTGTAAAGATTTCAGCTTTAGATTTCACCTTTAGAAACTGTATGAGGCATTCTACTCTTGGCTATAAGGGCAGGATTGACTTGATGGCAATGAGATTTTGCTTCTTGTTTGTTTTCGTTAGGGGGTATTAAATAATACTCATGGTGGTTTTGATTTGCATATTTCTACTGATTAATAAGAGAGTTCCTGCTGATTTAGTGGTAAGGAGTTGGCACTGCCAATCCAAAGCATTCATTCTACCAGCTGCTCCACAGAAGAAAAATGGCAATCTCATCCCATACGCTTCATTACCTCTGAAAACCTACTGGAGGATGCACTATGGATCGATTCCAACCCAAGAGTACATAGTAACAAGAAATGACTAAATAATCTTGGCATTGTGGTAAGGAGTCGCTGCCAAACCAAAGGGACAGGGTTCAAATCCACCAGCTGTTCAATTGAAGGAAAGTACCCAGTCTCTTCCTGTGTGGTTTACAGCCTCTGAAAACCCACTAAATGATCATCTATGAGTTGGTTCTGACTCCACAGCACATAACAAAAAAATAACATTGAATGTCATTCAGTTCATGTGTTCATTGGAGAAATACTTTGGCTATTTTCAAACTGAATTATTTGTCTGGATTGTAAGAGTTCTTTAAATGTTGTAAGTCCTGTATCCTTAGGTAACACAGGAGATGCAAATTCTTTACCCTGTTCTGTATGGTCTTTACTGTCTTCATACTGTGTTCAGTTTATTACTTTTAAAAAAATTAGTGGTTAAGTGCTTGAAAGGTATGATTTCTAAGTAAATACTTCTGGCTCTGGGTGTATAGGTGCATGCACTAGGTTTTTTTTTTGTTTTGAGAGTTTTTTCCATTCCTGTTACACTTCAAAATTGATTCTGTGTTAACTTTTTAAATTAGTTATAATTGTCCTTATTTGACTGGCTTATGTCACTCAGCAAAGCTTGTCATAATGTATCCATGTTCTACTGTATTTCCCAAATTTTGGATCCTTTTTAGTGATGTGTAATAGTCCACTATGTGGATATACCACAATTTCTTTATCTATTTATTTGTTGATGGACACTTCGGTTGTTTCCAGTTTTTTTTTTTTATTTTTTAAGTAGTGTTGCAGTAAACGTGGATGTTAGTATGTCAGTTTGTGTTGTAACTCTTAATTTTTGGGGTCTATTCCTAGTACTGGTCTTACTGGGTCAAATGGTGTTTCTGTTCCATATATTGTAAGGAAGTACGTTGCTTTCCATACCAGTTGTACCATTTTACATTCCCATTTGAAATATAGGAGCGTTCCAATCTCCACGCCCTTACTAGCATTTGTTGATGTCTTATTAAACATTGCTGTTTTTACTGAAGTAATTTGCACCTCTTTTAATAGCTAATACTCTTGAGCATTTCTTCATGTGTGTGTATTTGTCAACTGATGAATGTCTTTGATGAAGTGTTTGTTCATGTCCTTTGCACATTTTGTAAATGGCTTTGTTTTTTTTAGAACACATGAGCATTTTAATTTCTTTTAATTTTTTAAATTTTATTATTTTGTGTGTGTACTATCAAATAGGATCTAACTGGTACAGGAGGAGCTTGCCCCTCCTTCTCCAGCAGAGCATCTTGTGGATTTGAACCATGTACCTCTGGGATTGCAGTGCAGCTTCTTGCCACTAGGCAACTAGAGCTCCCTGTAAATGGCTTGTTTTATTTCTTTTTGAAGTATTCCATCAATTTTAGAGATTAATTCCCTTGTTAGATGTGTCATTGCCAAATATATTCCCTCAATTTTTAGCCTTTATTTTTACCCTTTTGGAGAAATCTTTTAATGTATAAGATGACATCAAATTGATTACTACTCATAGTAACTCTCTTTACGGCATATCTGAACCATGATCTGTCCTGTACCATTCTCATGATCTCTGTCATGTTCATACTCATTATGGTAGACACTGTCAGTCCATCTCATTGAGTATCTTCCTTTCTCTCATTGATTTTCTACTTTTCCCAGCATAATGTCTCTCAAAGTACTAGTTCCTCTTGAAAATATGCCTGAAGTAAATGAGGCAGAGTTTCAGAGTTTCACCATCCTTTCTTCTAAGGAGCACTCTGATTGTACTACCTTAAGTTCAGATTTATTTGTTCTTTTGGCTTGTCATTAAGCTTCATTTAGTCGGAACTGACTCATAGCAGACCCTCCAATTGAGTTTTCAGAGGCTGTAAATTGCATAAGAGGAGATTGTCCATCTTTCTCCTGCAGAGCAGCTGGTGGATTTGAACCACATGGCTTGTGCACCTCCTTAGCACTCAGCCACCTGAAGTGTCGTGTTCTTTTGACATTCAAACCTCTTCACAAACCACAGTTTAAAGGCATTTTGATGTATATGAGATCCCATAAATCTAACTTATCCTTTCTTGATAGTGTGTTTTCAGTTACATTTCAATCTGTAGTGGATAGTTGATGCCATGGATTAGGACTGCTAAGTTTGCCTTATTTTTATTCATTCATAGTATTAGATTTTACACTGATGTTTTTGATTCCTCTAAAGTTAGTTTTCTATGGGTATGAGGTCTGGCTTTTGATTACATTTTCTGCAGAGAGAGCCAGTTTTGCCAGTGCTTCCTGTTCAAGAAGCTCTCCCCACTCCACCCCCCACTTGTTGAATTTCATCTTTATCAAAGTTCAGTTGTCCATAGATGGATTTATTTCTATGATCTGTATTCTATTCCATTGGCTTGTATATCTGTAGTTGTACATATTGTGTCCTTTTGAAATATGAAGGATTTTAATATGTGATGGCCAATTTTTGTTGTTTCTTTCTTTGCTTGTGCTTTAAACTCACCGGTGTCACGTTGGAATTGACTCATAGTTGACCTCCAGTAGGTTTTCTGGAGGCTGTAAACCACAGAGGAGTTATTGTGCATCTGTTTCTCCTGTGGAGCTGCTAGTGGATTCAGACCACCAGAAGGGTGCTGTCTTTGTGTTGGATACACAGCTCTCTGTGGACTGTACTACCAGAGCTTCCCTTTTAGCTTATGCTCTAGGTGTCAGCAGAACCATTTCCAAGCGCTTACACACCTTTGTTCACTTGAATTGCCTTTAGTGCAGTAAGCATAATACCTGAAATTATCAGGTGCTTAGCAGTCGGTTCTGACTCAGAGATCCTGGATACAAAGTGTGAAGCGCTGAGCGAACTGGGAGGTTGGGCAGGGAGAAAAGTGCAGCAATGAATGAATGGAAATCCAAAGTCTCTGTAAACTTTCATTAAAATTAATAATTTAAAAAAAAACAAAACAAAACAGCAGTGTGAAGCACTGCCTCACCTTGCACCATCTTTGTAGTCATAGTTGTGTTTAATTAATGGTGAGAAATCAATATTTAGAAGTTCTCTTTTTTTCCTTTTAGACATTTGCATCCTGAAGACTTTAGTCTTCTTAATCCAAGCCTTTTAACAACCCAGATAACTTAAGATGTGAATGAAGCATGTGAACACAGCATGAGAAGATTGTAATCATCGATTTTTCAGCATGTTCTTAAAAATACAATCCATAGATGGCAACCACGGTGACTGCCTGCAGTAAGAAAACTAACTGACTACCTGCCTGCCAGTGGACCTGAAATCCAGTTTAGGTTGCTTAGCCCAGCATAAAGTTCAACACAGAAGAAACATTGTGAATCATTCACTTCTCAGATAAAGTTAGATAGGTTATTGAAGTTAGCTTGAATTTTGCCAAAAATAAATAGGAAGTAACATGGTTAACTTTGTGTATTTTGAGGAAGCTTGAGATAAATTAATCATATTTATTAAAAAATATTTTTATTACTATATTATGAATGTAAGACAGTAAATTTTAGTTTGTATTTGAGAAAATTTTTTGAAACAAAAGGTTTTAATTTTATACATAATTATGTAGTTTTTATCATGTCTTCCCTTTCACTGCTTTTAATGTAATTTTAATATTTAAATGTTCTTTTACATTTAAAAGCTGAGAATATTATTTGCTTATGTCAGTCTAAGCATTTCTTTTCCTCTAACATCTATTTCTATGTGATATTGATAGAAAATTAGGAGCTCTGGTGGCCTAGCGGTAAGAAGCTACAATCCTAAAGACACACCAGTTGCTCCATGAGAAATAGATGGGGCAGTCTCCTCCTGTGTGACTTACTGACTCTGAAAACCCGCTGAAGGGTCTGACTGGAATGCACATAACCAACACCACCACCATCACCATATATTTCTATGTGCTGTAGATAGTAAATTACACTGTGATGAGGACTAAGGCAAAAAAGACAAATCAGGACATTTGGGGAAGGGGAGGTATTTATATTTTTCATTTGAATATGATGTGAGATTAGAATAGAAAGCCTAAAGTTAGTATATACACACACATATGTATTCCTACATACATACATATACATACGTATGTACATATATATATGTATTCTCAAGGAAAATCTGACTTAAAAACTACTGATTTTAAAGCTATTTTCTTTGTATGAAACAGTGAAAGGTTTTCCAGTTGCTATAAATGTAACTATAGAAATTTAACAAGAGTTTTTTTGCTCTGTTTAATCTACAGTATTGTGATAATCATTTATTCATATAGACTGTAATCTGTACAGATTTCAATCACCCTCTTTCCAAAGAGTTAATAACCTGTTGGAATTCTGGTACTTAGAAAACATTGGTGCTAGATGTGCATTTTAGTGTGTTAAAATAAATCTTAGTTTTGAGAGCTGTGATTTTATAAATGTTCAGAAATAGATTTGAACAGAATGGAAACCTGAAATAGGTGATGGCTTTCAGGAAAACAAAAGCAGGTTTATTAAGAGAAATTAAGGATCAAACTCAGGAGACTGTTCTTTGCTTCTTGCTTCAATATAAAAATTGCTTAGGTACTCTGTTTTGTTCATGTGCTCTATTCCATAATACTTACCCCTTTCATTGTACTTCTAAGTCTTTAAACTGAAGCCTTTCACATTACCGTATGTATACGCCCAGACTGCAGAAATTATCTAACAATATCATTAATATCACATGCAAAAAAGATTCTGCTGAAAATTATCCCAAAATGCCTGGAACAGCATATCAACAGAGAACTGTCAGATATACAGGCTGGATATAGAAGAGGCCGTGGTATTAGGGATAATATAGCTAATGTTAGTTAGATCTTGGCTGAAAGCAGAGAGTACTGGAGGAATGTCTTATCTGTATTACATTGACTATGCAAAGGCATTTGACTGTGTGGATCACAACAAACTGGCTGATTGAGAAGAATGGGAATCCTAGAACACTTGATTGTGCTTATGCAAAACCTATATAGAACAGAGCAAGGAAACACTGCCTGGTTCAAAATAGTGAGGGGTATACACCAGAGATGTCCTATCTCCATATGCAGAACAGATCATCTGGGAGGCTGGACTGTATGAGGAGGAATGTGGCATCAGGACTGGTGGAAAATTCATCAACATCCTGCACTATGCAGATGACAGCAGCCTTGCTTGCTGAAACTGAGAAGGACCTGAAGCGCTTGCTGCAGAAGATCAAGGACTGCAGCCTTCAATATGGACTGAAGGTCAACTTCAAGAAAACAAATTCTCATCACTGGGCTAATTGGCACCATTGTGATAGATGGTGAAGAGATTGGTATTATTAACAACTTCAGTTTGCTAGGTTCCACAGTCAACACTCTTGGTAACAGCAGCCAGAAAATCAAAAGTCGGAATTGGATTGGGAAAGTTGGTGATCAGCTGCATCTCTAGAGTATTGAGGAGCAACACTGTCAGTCTTGAGACTAAGATGTGCCTGATTCAGGCCATGGTCTTCACAGTAACTTGGTATGCATCAGAAAACTGGACGATATAAAGAGAATTGATGCCTTTGAGCTATAGTGCTAGAGTATTGACTATACCATGGACTGCTAGGAGAACAAACAAGTTCATCCTAGAGAGGGTGAAACCAGGCTGCTCCTTGGAGGCAAGGATTCTGGAGCTCTGTCTTACATACTTTGGTTATGTTGAAAGTAGAGACCAGTCCTTGAAGAGAGACATTCATGTTTGGGAGGGTGGTGGGACAACATAAGAGAGGAAGACCCAAGATGAGATAGATTGACTGGAATAATGGGGATAGGTGTGTCAGAGACAATAAATTTGCCTCAGGATAGAGCATGGTTCAGAGCTGTTGTACATAGGGTGGCTATGAGTCGCAGGTGACTTGACAGATAACAACAAGCCCAGCTTCTTCACCTCAGACTGGTGCAATTTATACTCCCAAATTTTCCCGAGGAATGAGGCTGAAGTTACTTCTGGGGGACTTTATTTCAGATTGCCTTCTAGTCATTCTTCCCTTCCCTTCTAGTTTTCTTTCCTTCACTGGCCTGTGGCATCACCTTAATATGTTATTTGCACATACTTCATTATCTTCTGGGCAACTAGCCTAGGATTTTATACATAAGTACTTAAATTTTATCATATGAAACAAAAACAACTAGCCCAAGATTTTGGCAGTATATGGTTGAAAACAGCTTGAGTCTCTTCATGGAAATAGCATATTGGTAGGGGAGCTCTAGTGGTTTAGCCTGTAGGGAGTTTTGTGCATCTCCAGCAATTTGAATTCACCAGGTGCATATGGGGAGAGTTGAACAGTCTCCTTCCATTGTTATTCACAGGTTCAGAAACTCAATGGAGAATCACTGTGAGTTGGAATTACACATCAGTGAGTGAAAGGAAGAACATTGGTTAGAAACGCTAAAATTAGAAGTTTCAAGTACTTCCATGTAACACTGACAAATGGGATTTTTACTGTTCTGGAATACAGTCAAAGGATAGGTTGTCTCTCCTCTTGGAAGATAAGAGAATCACTGGAATTTAGGACTACTAAACTGAGGTTACCAATTCTGAGAATATGTCCTGTCAGCAACTAGGTAGCAGGAGAGAGGCCCGAGACCAAATGTGGTTTTTGAGGAATGGGAGCTAATTCATGCCCTCTTGTGGATGAAGGACTTCGGTATGTCAGAAGCCACGAAAGAGAGGCCAGAGGAAATGTATCAAATTCTCCAGTAGTATCTGGAGTTATGCTGCTAACCCAAAGGCTGTATGTACCTCTCTTAGTTCGAATCCACCAGTGACTGAGAAGGATTGACAGCCTCAGAAGGTCAACTATGGCCAGTTGAGCCGTGAGTTGGGCTTGCAAGGAGAGATCAGTATTTTCCTCTAGTTGAACTCAGACTGATCCAACAAGTTAGCCTGTTCATTTTTACTAGAACAGAGGAATGCAGTTGGAGATAGGAAATGAGAGATCATCAGATACTGAATGGGTCCTGTCAGTCTGAGTATTGAAACATGACCAGCAGGCTAAAAGACTTCTGCAACAACATGGGGAAATTAATTGTGATGGTTCTTGTTAAGGGTCAACTCTCAAATCCTAAGAGGAAACTGCTTAGAAATAGTCCTCAGGCAGGCAGGTATGTGGGAAGGATCACTGTCCATGGGAAACCTATGGATGGCAGTATTGTTAGTGCCAGTGAGGGAAAGGATTACAACCTCACATTAAGACTTCAAAGTAGGCCATACATGGAGTCACCTGGGAAGTGGAAAAGAAACAAAAGCCAGTCTAATTAAGTCAGAAGTGCGGTATTTTCATTGCAGGATGATGTGTTGAAAAAAATGTCTTTTTACAAAATGCATGACAAACACTTAAGTCAACCATCTTTTATGTGTATAATGCACTCATGAGTAAGTGATGATATTGTGGAACTATCACTATTACCCATTTACAGAGTCGTTCATCACCCACCCCTCAGAAACATGGGATGGTTAAGCTCTGTGTTGTTATTGGCAAAGATGGCACTTTGAACCCAAATAATGATTCCATAGGAGAAAGACCTGGTGATAAAACTACTACAACCAAGAAATTCCTCTGGGGCAGTTCTCTCATACATACTGCTAAGAGTGAAATATGGACTTGACAGCATGTAAGCAGTACCTCCCTATGTCCCCTTCTCATCCACCTCTGACATTGATCTTTACATTTGCCACATCTAGATATTTTACGAGGTCGTACATGCATTGTTCGTCCTTTTGTGTGTATTGACTTAATCCACTGAGCGTGTTTTCAAGATTTATCTTTGTTGTATCATGTGTCAGAACTTCATCCCTCTCATAGTGTGAATGATACTTCATTGGGTATTTCACATTTTGTTGATTAGTTGATTTGGGTTTTTCCACCTTTTAACTATTGTGAATAATATTGTAGTATCTACAGATACCTATTTGGATCCTTGCTTTCCAGTCTTTTGGCTCTATTCCTAGGAGTTGAATTATTGGGTCACATGATAATTATCAATCCATGTTGATGGAGTTGTGCATTACATGTTGGGTTGCTAACCAAAAGGTCAGTGGTTCAAATCGACCAGCCACTCTACAGAAGGAAGATGAGGCAATCTAGTTAGGATTTACAATATTTAATAAGGGCATCATCAGTACAGTGCCACTAAAGAGAAGACATGTACGCAAATGCTGTCCACAGAGAAATAGCTAAGAAACATAAACAAAAATGAGAATT